GTAGCAATTTGCCAATAATTATTGACTTTGTTCTTAATTTTTCAACCTTTTAAAATTAGGTATATTTGACATACAATAAACTGCACGTATTTAAAGTACACAGTTTGATAAGTTTTGACAAATGTATACACTTGAAAAACCATCCCTACAGTCAAGATAATGAACATATCTCTAATCCACAGAAGTTTCTTTGTGCCTCTTGGTAGTCCCTGCCTCCTCTTGTGTTGTTCTCAAGCAACCAGTGATCTGCTTTCTATCACTATAAATAAGTTTGCATTTTCTAGAATTTTATACAAATGGAATCTTATAGTATGTACTCTTAAGGGTCTGGCTTTTTTCTCTCAGCAAAATTATTTTGAGATTCATCTATGTTGTTGTATCAATAGTATTCCTTTTTAAAATGGTACAGATGAACCGGTTTGCAGGGCAGAAATAGAGATACAGACATAGAGAACAAGTGTATGGACGCCAAGGGGGGAAAGTGGCAGGGGGAGGTGGGGGTGGTGATGGGATAAATTGGGAGATTGGGATTGACGTACATATATCAATATGTATAAAATAGATAACTAATAAGAACCTGCTATATAAAAAAATAAATTAAATAAAATTAAAAAATAGTATTTCTTTTTATTGCTGCATAGTAGCATTCCGTTGTATGCATATGCCGTAATTTGTTTATCCATTCACTTGCTGATGGACATACAGGTTGCTTCTAGTTTTGGGCATTTACAAAGAAAACTGCTATGAATGTTTGTATACAAGTCTTTCAATGGACTTAAGCTTTCATTTCTCTTGGGTAAATAGGAGTGGAATGGCTATATCATATCGTAGGTGTATGTTTAACTGCTTAACAAATTGTCAAACTGTTTTCTAAAATAATTGAATCATTTTACATTCTCAACAGCAGTGTATGAGAGTTCCCATTCTTCCATGTTAATGCCAACACTTGGTATTGGTATGTTCAGTCTTGAATTTTAGCCATTCTTATAGGTATGTAGTAGTACATACTTCCCCCTTAAGATCAGGAAAAAGACAAGGATGTGTAGTTTTATTACTTTGGTCCATTACCCTCCCCCAACCCCTGGTAACCACTGTTCCTTCTTTATGAATTTGACTACCTCGTATAAATGGAATCATAGACTATTTGTCCCTTTCTGTTTATTTCTGGGCTCTCTATTCTATTTCATTGTCCTTATGCCAGTACCAAACTTTTAATTTACTGTAGCTTCGTAGTAAACTTTGAAATCAGGAAATATGAGCCCTCTAACTTTGTGACAAGTTTCCAGTCTTTCACCATTGAGTATGATGTTTGCTGTGGGTTTTTTATGTATGAACTTTTATCAAGTTGAGGAAGTTTCCTTCTTTTCCTGTTTCTTGAGTGTTTCTTTGTTTGTTTGTTTTTGGTTTTTTTGTGGTACGCGGGCCTCTCATTGGTGTGGCCTCTACCGTTGCGGAGCACAGGCTCCGGACA